TTGAGGAATTCGAACCATAGAGGATTTGGAGGGGAAAATGAGGTGAAAAAATATTGGACAATTAATGATTAATGTTTTGAGGCATAGAATTGTGGATTGGTGAGTAGTTTGATGACTAAAAGAGTTAAGGTAGTTGAATTAAATGGGAAAGGGCCATTAGGCCTAAGTGGCTATAATTGATCATAATTCTTGTGAAATTGATTGATGGTTTGCAATTGATTGTTGATCTTTATTATTTGATCATATAGGTTGCCTCTCACGAACGCAATAGAAACGAACTAAGCTTGGAGCTTACGTGAGGAGCATTACTCTTGGAGTTGAGGTAAACCATTGAAACTTGGGTTTATTCCCTTGTGTGCTCCACCACACCTAGTGGAAGGTTGTGGTTGTATTTTGTGTGCTTTTGACATTGTGTGAAATTGTATGATCGTGCATTGTTACTTGAATTGTGTGACATGTCTGTGATCTCTGGCTAGTAGATGTGTGTGGTTTGGACTTCCGCTGGAGATATCCTTTGGGGATTCCGGTCGGGTTTTTGCCGTGTGGCCGACTCTGAGAGCGGTACCAGGATGATCCAAACGTGGACTTCCGCTGGATAGGGCTCATGAGGAGTTCCAGTTGGGTTTTTCCATGGGGTCGTCTCATCCATGGGAGAGGCACCAGGAAGCTTCCCGAGAGTTATATGATGGGGTCCTTGAACAAAATCCTTGTGTGGATGTTCTTGGATGTGAGCCCAGTTGGTTGTGATTGTATACGTTATGCATTTTACATGATGTTTATTGTTGCACATTAAGTGAGCCATGGGGTGGAGTGATCCTCTAGTACCCTTGGTTTACTGAGATATATTTGTATATCTCACCCCGCGTTTGTGGACATCATTTCAGGTTATGGTGAGCATGGAAGACCATCGGGCAAGAGGCCCGCTTAGAGGAGTTTGAGCATGATGTGCATATGGAGGGCATGGCATTTTGGAGGAGTATTATTTGATGCACATAGCATTACATTTAGTGTTTTGGACTTAGATCATGAACATATTGCATGTTATTATTGCCATGCTTTTGGGTGTTCATGACTATATTCTAAGTCTATGTAGTTGTTGTACATTGATGCCTATGATTTGTATTGATATTTTGAGTGAGCATGGGACTTGTCCATGGCCACATATTTGGTGCTTAAAGGCATTTGGAGACTTGTGTTGTAAATAGACCATTTGATGTTTAAAATGGCTATGGTATTGGGAACCATTGTAATGGACACATTGGATAATGAATATGTATGATGGAAGGGCCTAAAGCTTACATTAGTCCTGTGTAAGTAGTATATTTAGTAGTAAAGTGTCTTGGGTAGAAAACATAACCCATTTTGTGTTTCAAAAACTGTCATCTGTCATTTTTACAGAAGGGTAATCGATTATTTTTCATTGGTAATCGATTACCTGAAACAGGGGACACAAAAATTGAGCCACTGTGATCAAGGTAATCGATTTCCCAAAACAGGGGAGCCCAAATTGAGCTATTGACTTCTACAGTAACCTTTGGTAATCGATTACCTCAAGGATGGTAATCGATTACCACTGTGTAATTTTTGAAAATAGTGTTTTTATAACTTGGAAGGGTTATAATAAATGAGTTTTATGCTTCCATGAGTTTTGCATTTACGATTACAGTGTTGTTTTTAATTGATTATGGAAATGGTTAATGTTTAACTTTAAGGATGTAATAAAAGAAAAAAAAATTCCCGTAATTTAATTAACTCAATTACTGTGGTTGTAACTACGCTTAATACCATATGCAATGATAACATTTCTGGTACGTAACGGGATGTTACATACGTAGACCTGTAGAGGCAGAAGAGTGAGGATTGTCCATAAATTCCCTGCACTTGGGGCTGTCGAGTCCTGTTTTTGAGAAGATTATTCCCGTCTCAATTCTTGGTCAAATTAGGCCCATAATATGTCAAATTGAAGCTTGAGGTGTCTAGTTTACTGTATAAACATTTGAGAGAAATTGGTATAGTGGTTTGTCCGGAATCATGGAAAGAGTGAGGGCTGTTTGGAGCCCTGTTTGAGGTTGGCTGACAGATTTGCTTGTCCAACTTCAAACGGCGATAATTGGAGCAAAGAAGAACTTTATGGAGCATGTGATAGCTTGTTGGAAACATAATTAAGTCTAGAATAATATACTAAAAGGAGAGGTTCGCGACACACGAATTTTCTGTAGTATCCAAAAGACTGAACCATGTTCGAAAAGGTAAAACTGTAAAAATGAGATTTAGGCTAAGTGAGTTTATGGGAACCCCTTAGTGTCTTGAGAGAAGTATTATTTGATAATTAGTCAATTAATATTATTATTTCGCATTTAATTTTCAGTTATGGTCACAGTTTTTATTCATTACGCTTTATTATTATTTTAAATGCTCGCGTAATGAAAAGGAAAAAGTTTACTCGCATTTTTATAAATGAACTGCTGTGATTGTAACTACGCCTAATATCATAATCAATGTTAACAATACTGGTACGTAACTGGCTGTTACAAGCATCACTATCACACTTTTTAGTGCTCCCTCTGGAAAATTTTCCTATTGCACCAACCATGTCTGAGAAAGTTTATGGGTTTTATAATTGCTACTTGGGTTCTAGGTTTTTTGTCTTGTTTTTGATACATTAAAATGACACTACTTAGAGCAACATCAAAGGCAATGACCAGTGATGGCGAATGGTGGTTAGAGCAATCGGGGATGAGTGTAAGGAAATTTTTTTCTTAAATTAATTAAATATATTTTATTTTTATAATTTGATAGTGGAAGGGGGTTAATTGTTTGAATTGAAAGAGTATGGTGGTTTTTTAAAAATAACCCTAAGTAAAAGGTGGTTAAATGTAATTTGCCCAAAGATAAATTCATTTTGTCAAGTTGAGCATAAGTCACTTATTCTAAAATTATGAATAAAAAATAAAGGCAACAATTGAAACAAATTTTGTAAAAAATTAAAATTATTTTAAATATAATTGATTTCATATAAATTATTTTTGAAAATATTTAATAAATAAATTACAAGAGAGAAAAGTTGCTATTTGATAATGTCTTAAGAAAGTAGTTAAATCAACACCAGATTTGTATAACAAAATTAACAATGTTAAACTTAATTCTATGTAGGAGATTTTCATCACAACAAAGAATGATAAAAAAAAATTTACTCTAAAATTGACAATAAGGAAAGAGGTCTCCAACATTGGCTGATTGACCCTTTTACGGTCATTGAGAAAAATAATTTTAAAATTTGTGGAAGGACGAAATTTTTTATTGAGCAGGGGATATTCAATTTTGGATTTTTTTTTTTGAAAAAAAAATAGTAAATTGCGCCACAAATTTTGGTCCCTCTTTTCTTTCACCCCCATTCCAATAAATAGCCTGCCTTCCATACACCCATTCACACGATTACTTTCATTCCTCTTCAAATCATTCAGCTAACAATAATAAATAACGTTACTTGTAATAAAAAAAATACTAGTTACTAAATAATAAACATTATGTTAGGTTTGTAGAAACCTAAGAAGAAGAGAACAGAACAAGAAAGGAAATAAGAAATTGTATTGAGTTCTTTTTCAATGAATGCCTTACAATGTCTTCTATCAAGTGTCTTTATACAACTAATTCACCAACTAACTTGCCAACACACTAGCCATGTGTCAGCTAACTAATCCAATCACCCAATGGATGCATGTGACAGACACGTGTTAACTAACTGTTTTAACACTACATCAATTACATGCACAACTACTGATACAATTAAGAAAAGGACTTCAAGCCACAAAGTCATTAAGCTTCGATGGAAGCTTCTTGTCTCTGCTTGATCTTCTCAATGTAACATTGCCCTCTCCTTCAACATTGACCTTGTCCTCAAGGTCAAGATCTGGATAACAATTCCTCAATTTGTGCTCTCTCTCCCAAGAAGCATCCTCAGGGAATGTGTGAGACCATTGAATCAGAAATTCCTTGACTGGTTGGCCATGACAAGAAGAAAATCGTGAGTCCAAAATTGCTATTGGAACCTGGACAGGTCTGTTAGCAACAACAGAAGGGGGAAGTGGATTGGAAACTACTGGAGCAACACCTTTGCAAGGCTTCAATTGTGAGACATGAAACACTGGGTGAACTTGGCTTCCTGGAGGTAACTGTAACTCATATGCAGTCTGGCCTAACCTTCGAAGGACCTCGAATGGACCAAAAAAACATTTGGCCAGCTTGTGATTTGCCCTTCTTTCCACTGTGACTTGTCTATAAGGTTGTAGTCGAGCCCACACCATATCTCCTACATTGAAAGAGCGCTCCTTATGATGTTTATCAAATTGGACTTTCATGCGATTTTGAGCCCTCTGTAGGTGAACCTTAAGCTGAGTCAACATTTCATTTCTTTGCTGTAACATGGTGTCAATTGCTTCCAATTTAATTAATCCCCTAGGATAGAAGGGAATCATGATGGGAGGCTTACCAAAAACTGCCTGGTAAGGGGAAATTCCTATAGCCGAATGAGTGGCTGTGTTGTAATGGTATTGTGCCCAACATAAAAATTGGCACCAAGAACTTGGTTGCTCATAACAAAAGGAACGAAGATACTGTTCAAGGTATCTGTTGGTCACTTCTGTCTTACCATCAGATTGTGGATGGTAAGATGAAGTGGTTCTCAAAGTGGTACCACTCAATTTGAATAGATGGCTCCAAAATTTGCTTAAAAAAATTCTATCCCTGTCTGTCAAAATGGAACGAGGGAAGCCATGAACTCTTACTATTAATTCACAAAACAAATTAGCAACTGTGAATGCTGTATAAGAATTTGGTAAGGGACCAAAATAGGCAAACTTGGACAATCTATCAATCACAACTAACACAGTGGTAAAACCCTTAGATGGTGGCAAACCACAAACAAAATCCATGGAAAGCTCCTCAAAAATACCTTCCGGAATTGGAAGTGGCTGCAACAACCCTGCAACCTTGGAAGTCTCTTACTTGACTTGTTGACATGTGTGACGATTCTGAACAAACAGTTTTACATCTTTCTTCATAGAAGACCAATAAAATGTTGCTGTCAATCTCAAGTATGTGCGTAATACCCCTGCATGCCCCCCAATCAAGGAAGAGTGAGCTTCTTTGATTAAAATAGGAATCAAAGAAGAAGAAGGACCAATGTAATACTTCCCTTTATGCAAGAGTATTCCATCTCGAATAAGCAAATCAGGATCTCTGTTTGGCTGATTCTGCAATTGCTGATGGATTTGTAACAAATAGGGATCAATCAAATTTTGAGCTTTAATTTCAGAAAGCAAATCAAACTCAGGAACAAACAAAGTTACACACAAAGCACCATCCTCATCAAATATGCGAGACAAAGCATCAGCTACAATGTTAGCATGACCAGGCTTATATTCAATCTGAAAGGAATAGCCCATCAATTTGCACAAGTACTTTTGTTGCTCGGCAGTATGAATAGTTTGAGTCAGAAGTTCTTTGATACTTCTATGATCCGTTCGAATGATGAACTTGGCTCCCAACAAATATTGGCGCCAACGTTTAACAGCAGTGGTAATTGCATATAACTCCCTAATATAAGTGGAAGCATTGGCCAACCTAGGACCCAATCTTTTACTAAAATACGAAATAGGGTGCTCACCTTGGAGCAATACAGCCCCTACTCCATAATTGGAAGCATCAGTATCCAAGATAAAAAGTTCTTCAAAGTTAGGTAATCTCAACACTGGGGTTTGAGACATGGCTTTCTTCAATTCCACAAAAGTTGTTTCGGCTGCTGCAGTCCAAGTGAACAAGGCTGAACCTTTCAATAGATTGGTTAAAGGAAGAGCTAGTGAAGCATATCCTTTGACAAATCTTCTGTAATAATCAATGAGGCCTAGGAAACCCCTCAACTGTTTAATATTTGTAAGGGTAGGCCATTGAAGCATGCTGCAATTTTCCTTGGATCAGCACTCACACCTTGATCATCAACCACATGGCCCAAGTATTCAATAGATTTTTGACCGAATGCACACTTGCTGATCTTGACAAAAAACTCATATTGCTGTAGAGAACTGAGAGTCAATTCCAAGTGTTTAGCATGGTCCTCAACAGTCTTGCTGAACACCAATATGTCATCAAAGAAGACTATAATAAATCTTCTCAAATAAGGCTTGAACAAGTGATTCATGACAGATTGAAAAGTGGCAGGGGCATTTGTCAAACCAAAGGGCATAACTAGAAATTCATAATGCCCCTCATGAGTTCTAAATGCAGTTTTGTAGGCATCAGCAGGGAGCAACCGAATTTGATGGTAACCTGCTCTTAAATCTAGCTTGGTGAAAATGGTAGAACCACCTAATTCATCCAATAGCTCATCAATTGTTGGAATAGGGAATCGGTCCTTAATAGTTACTGCATTCAAGGCCCTATAATCAATACAAAGTCTCCAAGAATTGTCATGCTTTCGAACTAGCAAAACTGGAGAAGAGAAAGGGCTATTGGAATGCTGAATGAAGCCAGCTGCCAACAATTCAGAAACATGTTTTTCAATTTCAGTTTTCTGATTATGACCATAAAGATAAGGTCTCACATTAATAGGTTTGGTACCTTCCTCCAAGAGAATTGAATGGTCCAAACCTCTAAATGGGGGTAAGCCACTAGGCACAGAAAAAACTCTCTGAAATTTGAGCAGAATGGACCATAACAGTGGATGAACTTCAGTTTGCAAAGCAGTCAACTCAGGTGAACAAGTATTGAGCCTAGTGGAATCTGTTTCTGCTAGCAAAGAATTACACATGGCCCACTCACTTGTGACTAGAACATTCATGTTAGCAGTAACCGATACATCATTCAGCCCTTGCAAGGAAATTGAATTACCTTCCCAACAAAATTCCATTGACCTCCTCATATAATCATGAGTGACCTTGCCCAACCTTTCTAACCAAGGCATGCCCAATATGATGTCAATATCAGATAATTCCAATAACCAGAGATCACAGACAAACAAATGCCCTTGAATCAACAGAGGTACTTTTAAACATTTCTTTTCAGAAAACATTACATCACCATTACCCAAAAATACACGAATTCTATGAGAATGTGATATAGGTAAGGAGAGTTTACTGGCTAATTGTTTCTGTATGAAATTATGAGTACTACCAGAATCAACTAGGATAGAAAATGTGATACCCTGTAGCGCAGAAGAGAACACCAATGCACACGACAATGATTGTTATCTCTCAAAGTATGTAAGGAAGCATCCTTTGATTCAATCATGGACTGATCAGCTTGCCAGACTATTTGCTCCTCTTCCAGATTGTCTTGTATTTTCTCTTCTTCTCCCATCAACAACATCATTTTATTTTTACAGAGATGCTTGGAAGACCATTTTTCATCACAAGTATAACATAGCCCAAATTCTCTATGCTTATGCAAATCAGCATTGAAAACTCTTTTCATTTGATTAGAAGCTGGTAAAGCCAACCTGTGAGAATGTGCAATTGGTGGAGGAGGAACATTTGAAGTGGAAGAACTGTTGGAAACCACTGAATTCACCTCAGTAATTTGAACTGGTTTTGGAAAAAATTTCTTAGGAGCTCCTTGAAAAGAATTCTTCAATTCACCAAAGTGGTCATCATAAGCCATTGCTAGTTGAATAGCGTGATGCAGTGAAATTGGTTCCCTCAATTGGACAGCACTACGAAGCTCAGATTGCAAACCAGAAACGAAAAAATTCATCAAAAGATCATCATCCAAATCTGGTATTTGATTAACCAAAGCCTCAAATTGTTGAACATATGATCGAAGAGAAGAGGATTGGGTCAACTTAGATAAAGCACCTTTCAAATTTGTGAAGCCAGACATACCAAAACGTTGTCGAAGTGCATAAGCAAACTCACTCCACCTACGAGCTTTACCGGTATTAAAGGTCCACTGAAACCATGAAGCTGCCATACCTTCCATTTTCAAACCAGCCAGAGACACCTTTGTTTCTTCTGGAATCATTTGCAAGGTGAAGAAAAGCTCCGTTTTAAAGATCCAATTATTAGGATCAAGACCATTGAAAATTGGAATCTCCATACGAACTCCTTTAAGTAAGGAACGATGGTCCATAGAATCTGATTTATGTGAATTGTGAGTAGCAGAAGGAGAATTATGAGTGGAAGATTCATGCCTAGGTACCTGATTGGCTATAACAGTTTCCTGTAATTGTTGCATCTGGTTGATCAAAATCGAGATCTGATTTCTGGTTTCAACAGCTTGTCGCGAAGCTTGCATGCGAAGTTCTTCCAAATTCGTGTCCACACGTTGCTGAAAGGAATGGAGTTCCTCCGAAAGTTCTTGAACCTTCGTCATCAAAGCAAGAACAAGGGAATGAAAGCACCAATGTTAGGTTTGTAGAAACCTAAGAAGAAGAGAACAGAACAAGAAAGGAAATAAGAAATTGTATTGAGTTCTTTTTCAATGAATGCCTTACAATGTCTTCTATCAAGTGTCTTTATACAACTAATTCACCAACTAACTTGCCAACACACTAGCCATGTGTCAGCTAACTAGTCCAATCACCCAATGGATGCATGTGACAGACACGTGTTAACTAACTGTTTTAACACTACATCAATTACATGCACAACTACTGATACAATTAAGAAAAGGACTTCAAGCCACAAAGTCATTAAGCTTCGATGGAAGCTTCTTGTCTCTGCTTGATATTCTCAATGTAACACATTATTAATTATTATATAATTAAAATTACTTATTACTATATTAACAATTATCAATCAATACTAATCATTAATTATTATGCTAATAATTACAAATTATTAATTAATTTTATGAATCAGTAAAAATTAAATTGAAAACCACTAATTATTATTAATAATTAAAAATCACCAATTCTTATATTTATTAATTAATAAATTAATTATTACTAATTACTATAATTAATAATTACTAATCACTATTTAATAAATTTAAAAATTAAAAATTAAAATATAAATGAAAAATATCTAATAAATATATTTTTGCTTTTGTTGCAAAAAAATTTCCTATCACACTTATATAAAAAATTGAGTGGTTCTATTATGAAGAAAATAGAGAGAAAAAAGTTAGTCGGACCCATGCAATTTTATGTGAGTGACAAAAAAAAAATTGAAACAAAAACTCAAATATTTTTTTTTTTTGGAGTTACCCAACCCTAATTATCTCTTTGAGACGAGTTGGCTCCCTCCGGTATCCCCACGAGTTTCGACTCTTTGAGCCGGCTATGAGACTAATCCAGAGTGCGGGGGAACAGTGATTATTACCCAAATATTATTAAACCCTTACTACAATTATTAATAATTAAAAATTAAATTACCAAACATGAATTATTATAATTAATTATTAATAATCACTGGCTACAAATTTAAAATTTAACAATTTAATTACAAATCACTAAATTACTAATTCGTAATTTGTAATAGAGTGGAATATGAAAGTTTAGTTGATTTCATGTACAAGTTTTCCACAAAAGGTACATGCAATGCAATCATCTATGTGTACGGTGGACAATTTGCAATCTGTTTATCGTTGTCTTCTAAATGATTAACTACAAGTTGTAATTGCAACGTCAAACAAGGCCTCATCATTTTTGGTTTGTACTAAGCTGTACATCACAAGTTCATGCACTTAGCTTGCTTTTGTATGGCTTTTCCTTGTTATTTTATGGTGAGGATCAAGTACACCAGTTGAGGTTCGTACAGGTGTCTCGCTGTTGCCCCCTTTTGCTGACTTACTTTCTATTACTTTTTTTTCTGAATACAAGACACCATATGACATTGATTATTCACTTCGATAAAGTTTTTGTCGGCTAAGAAATAATGGTGAACAAAATTGCATCTACTAAGCTCGGGTCCACTTGCTTCTATGATTTGCCTTTTAGGGAACATAAACATATATTATACTTGCGTCCTTTTTTTTGAAACTCTCTAAAATAGGAGAAAATATTTGGTGCAACAGTGTACATTCATATTAAAAAGTGAAAGTGTTTATGAAAAAAATAAATAAAGTTTTTGAAACTTAAAAAAAAATTATAAAAAAATGAGTTAAAATAATTTTCCCTTTTTAATAAAAGAGAGTATCAAATTCGGTACTCCCTAAACCCTAAAATAGGAGAGAAACATTGGTGTTCTAAGAGATTTAGTGCTCCCTGCTCTCTTAAATTAGAATTTAAAAGAGAAAAATGCTAGTTTAAATGATATAAAACATTTTCTATTTAAACTTTTATCAGGTATTGATTAGGAGCGCGTGAGCGCGTGAGAATTCTTTTTAGTGCTCTACTAGAGTTTGTGTGTTTTTGTCTTCGTCTTCTTTATTCGTCCTTCTGTCAGGGGATGTCTGAGAAAGGGGGAAGACCCCACACCTCGGTGGCAGAAGAATTCAATGATCGAGAGAGGAAAAAAGCGAAAGGGGGAAGAGCTGGTGGACCAGGTTATGCAGGATAACCCTTCGATTGTAGGCGCAATGGAGGAGGTTACTTTGATGGAACACAAGTCAGACAATATGGAAGATCACAGACTGGAAGAGGAAATGCGTAGGGATCCTCGCAAGCTCGTGTCCTATAAGGATAGTCTTATCCGGATGAACGGAGTGTGGGAGACCAAAAAGGAGATGAAGAAGATGATTGGATGGTTCAAAACAAAAGAGATGAAACCGATGAAGAAGAGGCCATGAAAGCCTCTGCCCAGACTGAGGAAGATGACCCTCTGAACCCGTATTTGCAGTTCGATGTCCTGGAAAAATTGGAGGAGTCCAAGAAATGGAGGAAGACACTGATTGTGAAGCTAATGGGGAAGAGGCTGGGGGCATAGTTCCTCTGGAGTAGACTCCACAAGCTCTGGAATTTGGAAGGGAATTATAAGGTGCTGGACTTAGAAAATGACCATTATTTCGTTGATTTTGAGAAGACCCAAGACTATCCTTTTGTTCAACAACAAGGCCCCTGGATTGTGGCAGATCACTACCTTAAGTGCAGCGATGGAGGCCAAACTTTGACCCATACAATGACAACGTCAAAAAACTTGCAGTCTGGATCAGGATTCCGGGTGTTCCTCGTGAGTTTTACACTCACAAGGACCTTTGGAGGATGGGCAACATGATGGGAAGGACCCTCAGGATTGATGAGAGCTCTCTGCGCTTTATAGGACAGAGTCAAGAAGAGGTAACCGACAGAGGTAGGTTTGCTCGTATTTGTGTAGAGGTAGATCTTAGCAAGAGCTTACTTTCAAAGTTTAGAATTGGCCAAAGACAATTGTATATTGGCTATGAAGGTTTACACCTCATTTGTTTTTTCTGTGGCAAATATGGTCATAAAACGGACTAGTGCCCAATCAACCTTGGAAATCATAAAAATACAGAGGAGAATGTAGTGGGCCAGAAACATTGCCACTAGGAGACTCATAACCATGATGAAGGGGATAATTAGGAGATGTTGAGAAAAGCCAAGAAACTGATGGGTTTGGGAACTGGATGACAGTCCAGAGGCAGAATAATAACAGGAGAGTAGTTCAGAACCAAAAGCCTAAGGAAGCTAAGCAAGCAAGAGAAAAAGTCATAGGGGAACATGGGCAACATGGGAACAAGGAGAGAGTAACAGGGTCGAGATTTGCAATGCTAGGGGAGGAGAAAGAGGAGGACACCCCTGAAGTGGGGAATTTACATGTTGGATCGGAGGGTAAGACTCCTGGATATTCAGCAGGGAATGAGGGTATAAAAAAGAATACAGACACAAGGAGAAGGAAGAATAGCCCAAGTAAAAGAATTGGAAGCTCACCATCTAGTCCAAATGGCAAAGTAGGAGGAAAATAGGTCCAGCCGAATATTATGAGTCAGGTTGAAAGGCCACCACAAACTCAGAAAGCTGATCAAAAAATAGCTATACTCATTAATAGAGTTGATGATGCCCAGAAAGGAAGCCCTGGCCCCCGTCTCCAGGACAACAGATCTGTCCAAACTCAATCAACAAATTAAGGGCCCATGTTAGGAGCTGTGCATCGTTTGGGGTAAGGAGAACCTCTTGACATAAGCCACGTGCATAAGGAGAATATGTCAGATAAAGCCGAAAGGGGGAAGAAGCTTAGTCAAGGTGCTAGAGATGCTATGGTGCTTGATGACATCACCAATATGGGTGTGGGGACCAAACACATTGGGTCCACCTAACTGGATGTTTGGGCCCTTGGGTACTGTATCCACTTTTATGTTTTTAATGATAGTGTGTACTTGGAACTGCAGAGGAGCGGGGAAGAAAGGTTTTTCCTCACTCATTAAGGACCTGGTCTACCAAAATAGAATTCAAGTTCTTGTTTTGCTGGAAACAAGATTAAGTGGAAAGAAAGCTGATAAGACTATTAGGAACCTGTGTTTTGATAGTTATTTCAGGAGGGAGGCTGTGGGCTTTTCGGGTGGGATTTGGCTGCTTTGGAATAAGAATGAGGCTAACATTACTATCATGAAGGAAGAGCACCCGGTTGTCCATTCTAAGATATGCTGGTTGGGAAATGGGAAGAATGGGTACTTCACCTTTGTTTATGGCAGCCCTAGGAGGATGGAAAGGAGAGTGCTTTGGGAGAGTTTGAAAGCTATTGAGTCTAATGGTGTTGGTGACTGGGCTGTGGTGGGGGATTTCAATGCTATTTTGGAGGAAAAAGAGAAACAAGGGGGTACCAGCATGTGTTGGGGCAGCTCCTAAGAGTTTTCAAACTGTCTTTTCGAGTGTGGATTGGCGGATGTGGGATTTTCATGTTCGAACTTCACCTGGAAAAGAGGGAACCTTCAAGAGAGGATTGATAGGCTTGTGGTGAATGACACTTGGAACCTAAATTTTCCTAACAGGTTTCTTTGCCATCTTCATTTCAATGGATCTGATCACAAACCTCTCTTATTGAGTGAAGAGACTATTTCTCTGGCCCCGGAAGGTCCCAGACCTTTCAAATTCCTAGTTGTGTGGCTGACCAATGAGAACTTTGGAGAAGTGGTGGATTACTGCTGGCAAAATAATACAAACTGGGAGACAACCAAGAGTAGATTCCAGCACAAAGCTTCCATTTAGCACCAAGAAAAGTTCCAAGCCCTCCATAGGAAAAAGAAACAGATTCAGGGAAAGCTAAGAGGAGTGGATGCCCAACTCTGCAGAGGACTTGATAACACTATGGAACAACTCCATAGATCCCTATGGAAGGATCTTAACACTATCTACATTCAAGAGGAGCTTACTTGGTTCCAACGCTCTAGGTGCAAATGGTTTGCGTTAGGTGATAAAAACTCTAAGTTTTTTCATTCAACCACTGTTGCAAGAACTAGGAGGAACAAAGTGAAGT